ATTTGTTTTTTTTGTTTTTTTTTTTTTCGACACGTTGGTGTCGAAAATTGACCAAAAAATCGACCTGTATGTGTCGAAAATTGCCGACGGGTTTCAAAAAAAAAAACTTCAAAATCGACTTCGAAGCTGAAAAAAGACATCGATACTTACCTTAATGGCTTCTCTTTCCACATATACTACCATATTATTGTCTTATAACTCCATTTTATAGGTTTTGTGAGGTTTTGATTTTTTGAATTTGGAGATGTTTTGGAGGATTTAAGAAGATGAAAAAGATAGGGTTTAATTGGGTTGTCGCGGCAGTTACGAGCACGTACGGTGGCGGCGGCGGCGGCGGTGAGGGTTGGAGAGGAGAAGAAATGGTGGAGGTGTGTTTTTTTTTACAACAAAGGGTTTTTTTTTATTTGGTTTTCGAATAGGTAATTTCTAAAAAAATTTGATATAATTGATATTTTGTATGAAAGGGTGTTTTTGTACTTTTCTTTTTATTTTGGTATTAAAGTAAGAAAAAACTGATAAATATATACTCAATTTTGGTTTTAAACTTGGTAATATTCAAGTAAGCAAAAGTTGGGATTTAAAATAGTTGCCCCCTTTAGTAATATATCCTTTAATTATAATTTGACTTCTCAATTTAAATTTATTTATTTTCTCTTTCTACACTGTAATCCCATGCAGGAGCCACCCAATTAATTTCATGGGGCAAATTACAGCCCAATACAGTATGGTCAAGTTTTCTAATATTCGAGACAGGGTCTGCCAAAGACTCAAAGGGTGGAAGGAAAAATGGCTCTCCAGGGGAGGAAAAGAGATTCTTATCAAATCGGTGTTACAAGCCATCCCATCTTATGCTATGGGTTGCTTCAAGCTTCCAGGTTACTTCTCGAGAGAAATTGAACAGTTAATGGCACAGTTTTGGTGGGAAAATACCAAAGGGAAAGGAATTCATTGGGCTAAATGGAGCGATCTTTGTTTTAGTAAGCAATCGGGGGGACTAGGATTTCGGGATCTTGAAGCGTTTAACATGGCATTGCTTGCCAAACAACTTGGGAGACTGCTTGTGACACCCAATAGTCTTTTAGGTCAAGTACTAAAGGCGAGATATTATCCACACACTGATATCTTAGGAGCAAGGTTGGGTTCTAATCCCTCGTTTACGTGGCGTAGCATTTTTGGATCTAAACGAATTTTAGAGGCGGGGTTGCGCTGGAGAGTGGGGGATGGGAAGTCTATATTGATTTGGAAACATCGATGGCTGCCTAGGGGATCTACCTTTAAACCGATCACGCCGCAGGATAATTTTCCCCCCGATATGAGGGTTAGCGAGCTTATTTTGGGTGAATCAAACCAATGGAACGAAATGAGGATCCGAGAAATATTTATGGAGGATGATCAGAGTGATATTCTTGCTATTCCCCTTGGGAGTTCAATTAACAAAGACATTCAGGTTTGGCATTATAACCAAAATGGTCGTTTTTCGGTTCGTAGTGCTTACCATCTTGCAGTTCGACTGGAAAATGAGATCTCCAATCCTGCGTCGAGCAGTTCCATTAACAACACCTCAACTCCGTGGAAATGGATATGGAAGCTGAATCTCCCAAATAAGATTAAAATATTTGCATGGAGAGCTTGTAAAAACCTCCTTCCCACCAAAGATAATCTTTATAAAAGGAAGATAACAGTTGATAATTTTTGTGGTCGGTGTGAGTGCGAGGTTGAAGATATATTTCACTGTTTTTCCAGTTGCTCTTTCTCGAGGCAAGTATGGGCTCTTAGTAATGTTTCCTGGATTGTGCATCAGTGGAAGGGGGATAATATGAGAGAGTGGTTGCTGAGTATGAAAAGGTCAACTGATATTGTCGATTTTGAGAAATGTGTGCTTATTTGTTGGGCTATTTGGTTTGCGCGAAATCGTTTTGTTTTCGAGGGTGAATTCAAAGAAGTTATGGAGGTCATCTCTTTTGTTGGAAGAATTGAAGATCAGTTGCGTCACCCGGCAGCTCGAGTCCTCAAGAATCAACTTTCTACAAGAACACTAAAGGCTCATTGGACTCCGCC